GAAAGAAGGAAGAGCAAAATGAACCTAAGAGAAAGTAAAATGATAAGAAAATATTTTGCTTATTCCATTAAATGTTTGCTGCTTATAGGGAAACAATATATAGCCATTGCAGTGGTACCATAACAGAAGAAAACAAAAAACAGCAAATGAAACAGAATGCAGAATACCGTAACAGAAGAAAACAAAAGTAGCAGGAAGAAACGTACTGGCATTTGTACGTGGGCAATGGGCAAAAGAAAAAACAGAAATAAAAACAGTTACAATTAAATATATTAATTATTCTTAATAAACTTAGAGAGAAGGAAGCTGGTGGAGAAAGAATCTGAGATTAAAAAAAGGGAGAGAAACTAATCAAGTAATATATATATTTGCAAATTTCTTTGGGATAGAAATTTTAAGAATTTTTGGAACTTGAATGCTAGTTTTTGAATTATTTTACTTAAATTTATTCTTAATTAATACACAATTAAATTTCTCTCAAATATGATTATTGTTGCTCAATCCAACATGTCTTGCTAATTTTTCTTCACTAGAGTAATTGACGTAGCCTGAATCAAAGGTAAAATTTGTGATTTAATTTTTAGCTTTTTTCTGATTGCAATTTAGCAGTATTGAACTTAATTAGGTTGTGAGAATTGACCAGCTCAAAGCTTTATTTATGATTATTAGTTTTAGAGTAACGGGAGTGAAATTCTATCAATTAGACAGATATTGTTAAGCGTTAATTGTGATTTGAATGGAAGTAATATAATCAAATTAACTGGGTTAATCGAATTATCACATATTTAATTGAATTAAATTAATAATTGTTATAAAAGTTAGCAGTTGTTAATTGATAAACCTAGGAATGGAAACCGAAAGTACATTAGAATCATTTGACCATCATATACTAGACTAAATCGATTGAGAAATCAAATGCGAATATACCTAAGATTCAGGTGAAATCAATTATTGTGGTGTATTTCTACTGATAAGTTTTCCTCAATTTAAATTGTCTTGCTTTGATTAAATTGTTTTAATTTTTAATAAAAAATTAATTTTGATTTCTAGATAATAGTAGAATTTTCTATAATTTTAGTACTTGATACACAATTTCAGTGAGAAGATACTCTAATAATTATTTTATTATTTGAACAATTTTGTACACTTGCAAATTCTTCCATCATCTACCCTTTTGGAAATATCCCTCCTCATGTGTCTCTTATTTTTCATAAGACTTCCCTTTGCTTCTTATCATGTCAAGATCTCTATCAACAACTATTGAGTGCAAAACTCCTTTTCAGGTATGGTCTAGTTCACCTGCTGATTATTCTCATATGGAAGTGCTTCAGTGTTCTGTTTATGCTCATGTAAGGGATGGTATGCTTGAGTTTAGAGCAAAGAGATGCATATTTTTAAGGTGTGTATATAAAGTGAAAGGTTACAAGTTATGGTGTAGTAATCCAAAGTCTATAGAGTTAATTATTAGTAAAGATGTGACATTTATTGAGTTTACTTCACTATACAGTTAAAAGGAGAAAGTAGTAACAGAATCACATCATAGTATCAAAGAACAAGTAGAATTAGAAGTTCACTCTAATAATTTAGGGAATAAAGTGCAAGTTCTTAAATAAGAAAGTGATTGTGCACCTTATAGACAACAACCATACAATATTGCAATATGCGGGGAGAGAAAACATATTAAACCACCATAAAGGAATACAAATCTAGTTGCATATGTGTCGTCAGTTGCAGGGATAGTTAATTTGCAAGAACCTGAGAGTTCAGATGCAGATCTGTGGGTTGGTGTTGTGTGTGATAAAATTGATGATATCACTTCATTCAGGACATTGTATCATATGGTACTAGAGTTTTGTAAAAGAAGTCTACGCATGCAAATCCTTTATATATGATGACTAACACGATCCCAATTATCAAATTTAAGCACTGCCTAGACTTGATTGGAGTATATGACACTTAGTAGTGCCCCTGTGAGGGCATTTTTGTAAGATAGTGTGACGAGACGATCAATTACTTTGATGACATATAAAATTCAAGCCAAGCAAAAGATTTATTGATGTGGCTTGATTCTAGGGGTATGTTATCTTAAGAATATTTCATATTTATCATGAGGGATTTGTGTTTATCCTAAGGGGATATTCAATATTTATTCTGAGAATTATTTTATGTATATCCTAGAGATTTTTTGTGGGAAGACTCATAGTTTCTCTATATATGGGTCTATTCACCTATTGGTAATGTATTCTTATTTGATCATAATGGAAAAGTTTCTTCTCAGTCTTACCTGTGGATGTAGGTACAGTCGCAAAACTACATTAAATCTTATGTCTTTTTCATTATGCTTTTTACTTTATTGTGATTGTATACGGTTTAGAGATTAATATTCTCAACATAAAGTGATAGAGGATAAATTATAAACGCAGACTTGAATGCTAGAGTTATCAAAAGGAGAGGCTTCAAATGGGCTAATTTTTTATACTTCCCTAGCATAATCATACTCCTTGAACAAATGGTTAATAATTTCATTTGATTTTCTATACATGGAACAAATTGGATCAATTTGCATACCTTTTTGACATAGACAAATACGTACAGGTAAAATATCTTATATGAGTTAAAGGGGTAGTTTACATTAAGTTACATGAGTCCCTATGGCCAAGACATAAAACAAATAAAACTCATGCTAATTCATCCAAA